TTCCTGCCTTCCTTCCTGCCTTCCTTCCTGCCTTCCTGCCTTCCTTCCTGCCTTCCTTCCTTCCTGCCTTCCTTCCTTCCTGCCTTCCTGCCTTCCTTCCTGCCTTCCTTCCTTCCTGCCTGCCTTCCTTCCTTCCTTCCTGCCTTCCTTCCTTCCTGCCTTCCTTCCTGCCTTCCTTCCTGCCTTCCTTCCTGCCTTCCTGCCTTCCTGCCTTCCTGCCTTCCTGCCTTCCTGCCTTCCTGCCTGCCTTCCTGCCTGCCTTCCTTCCTTCCTGCCTGCCTTCCTGCCTGCCTGCCTGCCTGCCTGCCTTCCTGTCTTCCTGCCTGCCTGCCTTCCTGCCTTCCTGCCTTCCTCCCTCCCTGCCTCCCTGCCTCCCTGCCTGCCTCCCTGCCTGCCTGCCTGCCTGCCTTCTCTTCCTTCTTTTTGTCTACTTCTCACCCTTTCCCTCCTTTTTTTTCCAATGCAGTATGCTTTACAAGCTTTTATGGTAAGACAAATGGAAAAAAAGTTAAACACTTCTGATACTGGAAGTATGCAACAATATATCAGCTTTATACCACACTTAATAAATTCACTTGCTTGTTTTAAAATACACTTTATGTCTTGGAAATAGGTACCTCACATGCTCATTAGGGACAAAACTGGGTTGAAATGAGTTGTACAATGTATTTTTTTATGTTATATAATTATTCATATATAATGAATGATGTATATTTTCAAAACAATTATGTAGCTCACTACTGACACAGAAATTACAGATGGCCTGAGTTAAATATGCTTTTTTTTTAAATTATGCATGAGGCTTATCCAAAAATCCTGAGCAGTGTCAGAATTAGACTCAAACAAAAGTTTGTAGTTTTAGAATAGCCTCTCATTTCTAGTGATACATTCTGTTTCCTAGTTTAGACATAGGATATTAAAGTAAAGATAGAATTATTTTATTATTTGGCTGGCTGTTGTAAAGGAATTGGAAAAAAAACCAAGAGTTGAAACTGCAGGTACAAGCTGCAGAACCACATTATTATGTTATTGCCAGGGTCAGGAATTAGCATTTCCTCTGTTCCCTTACACTTCCTCCAGAGTCCTCTAGCCATCAAATCCTGGTTCTGTAACTCCAGACTTTGGGGTTTTATAGTTGTTGTTGTTTAGGGTTTTTTTTTTTTTTTAATGCTTTGGACATCAGAAATACCAAAATATTCTTTGATTTTCAAGGCTTTTGGAGCACTGAAGGTTTTGGAGGAGGAAGTTCATGTTCCATGAAATTGCACCAGTGCCTTTATTAATTACCTCTTGTTTACACATCAAGGTCACATTGGAGACTGATTTCCTTTACTTAAAAAAGTGTAACATAGGCAGTGTTGATTGTTCAGATATTATTGGCTTCTAAGTTCAATTTCAGACACATTCTTACATGACTGAGCACAGTACTCCAAGCCTCTGCTCTTGTCATGGTGAGTTTATGAACATTTTGCAGTGAGATTTCTGTTAACCCTGAGGCTGTCAAACAGTATTTAAGATAAAACAGCACCTGATCACCACAGAACATTTGCCTACTTATAAAGAACAAAAGAGAAAACAAAAACAACAACAAAAATAAAATAATTAACGACTACTTCATTCCCACACAGCAAAAACTAGATGTCAACTGATCAGTTCTTTATGCTTGCATATGCTTTTAAAATTATCTTTTTTTTCTCAACATCTATCCCCATCAGAACATGTTCTACAGTTGTAAATCAGTGCCAGTGAATTAAATTTTGCTCAGGGCATTGTGTACAATTGCAATATGGCTATTAATGCAGGGAAAATAAACAAGGAAAAAATGCTTAACATGACACAAGATCTGACTTATTAACTGATTCAGTATAAATGAATGTCAAGTAAATGACAGCCCCAGGATCCATCTAACACAAAGTTGTTTGAAAAAGCATTTCAGCAATGGCTTAGGATATGTTATTCTTTCATTCAGTTGCCCATGCTTCCAAGGGAGGGAAACATAGCTTCAGACAAAAAGAAGAAAAAGAAACACACTGCTTCAAGTAAAATATTGCATAAAAGAGATTTTCTATTTCAGAGGGTCAGGCTAAAGACAGTGATTAACAGAAGAGAATGTCTGACTGAAGGAAAGGAAGACTTCTTTCTAAAAAAGCAATTGCTGAAGACAAGAAGCATGAAAAGCCCATTGCCATGGTGCTGGATGTGTTGTTGTTTCTTTTTGACCTCACCTTGTCCAGTCAAGATGACTAAAAGCCTTACTTTGTTATTTACTAGCTTTTAAGCATATGGTTTTTGACAGTCTTCATTATTCTTTAATAAGTTTCTTTTGTAGTGGAGCTCACCCTTTAGAAACTCAGTTAAGGAATTGAATTGAATGTTCTATCTAGAGCAGGTTCATTTTAATTTATTTAAATATGTAAAGACATTCTGTTTTGTTTTGTGGGTTTTTTTAAGTACCCGTGGGCTTGCAGGCAGAGAGGTATCTAGCCTTATCTCTGAGTGAAAATTCAGCTCTCAGTTCCCTGCAAACTTTTCCTTGTTCAAATTAGGGCATCTCAATGCAAGAGCTTGTTAAAGTTTCATGTTATAAGGGATGGGTTTGCCTTGGCAGATTAATTTAACAGCAGGAAAATCTACTTCTGTTTTTCTTAATGCCAAGTTTTAAAGCCTGCTTACTTTGTGGGTGGTGTGATTCAAGAGGAAGCAGGGTAGCCACAGGCATGGGATCAGAACTTCGTCCTTATGCACATGAGTGGGTGTGTGGGTGTGAGAGAAAAGCAGGTACGAGGTTTCTATCCTTCCTCCTTGCACTCAAATCCCTCCCTGGGCATCTCGGGGTGCTGTGCATGTTTGTGACCAAACACACTGGGCCAGTGGGCTGCCCCTCCATTTCTGCTGGGCTGGGAAGCCTGAAAAAGTGGCAGACAGGCTCCTGGATTTGAACCAAGAGGAGACAGAGGAAGCCATGTGAGTAGACAGGAGCCTTATTGTCCTAAGGAGGTTCACAAAGTCTGGAGCAAGCTCCACTGTGCTGCACCAGGGCTGCAGGATGGGACGTGGGGCTCCCACAGGCCCGGCACTTGCAGGGCAGCAGCTGCACAAAGGCCCACAGGACACACGGTTTCCCAAAGGGGCAATATCACAGCCGACCCCACACAGTGCAGGCCTTTTCCCATGCACACCTATTTGGAAAGAGCTGTCAAATTAAAATGAGCCCTTTTGTGTGTGCTGAGGCTAATGGTTAATGTAATAAAACTCAGCAGCGTTTACAACATGAACTGTGTGGAACCATGGAGGGAGAGTTTGTGGGCCTCTTCCCACTTGGTTTTCATGTATGTGTAATGATCAAAAGAGGCAAGTTAATAATGGGCCAAGTAGTGACACAAACAAACAAACTCCATACACACCAAAAGAAACCACAGCACCTTCACCTAGCTCAGGAAAAATCAGCTTTCCTTTGGGCCTGGATGTTGCAGTTTTAACTACTGGTGTGAGCTTGCTCCAGGTGTATACTCAGCAACATTTTAAGGTTGCTGCAGGTCCTGCTGACATATCTGGATGAAATTTTAAATCAGCTCTAGTGTTTTACTGATCAGAAACCATTCAGGGTCATTCCTTTGCTGCTGCCACTGTAGGTGCTGTGCTAGCTGCCCCCAGCCTGGCCAGTCCAATGGCACCTGGCATGCCTCAAGTCATGTTGCGTGACTTGGAGCTCTAGAAGATACTCCTTTAAAACGTGAAAACTTACTTTTACCTCTCTTAAGATTACCAGAGGCAAACAGTAGGTAGAGTGTCTGGTTTGACAGTTTAATGGATCCCATTTGGCAATTCTGACCACTATCAAATTTGAAATCATGAACCTGCACATTGATATTTTTACCCATGGCACTCAGGAAGAGGACAGAGACACTTTTCTAGCTGAGACCCAAAGGTGGCAAGAAATAAGGCCCAATGATCTTTGATGTCTAGTAGCCTGTTTATTGTAAGGAGAAGCTGTAAGACTCCATTTACAGCTTTGGTAGCCTTCACTGTTCAGCTTCGATCACAATTTTCTGTTGTTTGCCAAAGCAGGATGATATTGGAACATCTGAGAGTAAAACCTGTCTTCTAGTTGTCTTTTCACATCTGTGACCACATAGCTATCTTGCTTTTGCACTCACTTCTCTCTAATTTGTTTTCCCAAGAAGCAGTCTCTTTCTAAAAATATTGATACAGGAGCATGGGGAGGACAGCAGAGAACCCATTCAGTGCCAGCTTCTCTGCTAGCCTGCACTGTGAGCTGTTTTGTTGCTCACAAGCTGATGTTTTTCTCACCTCTTCCATCTTCTTCTACTTAGTCTAACTCCAGCCCCTGCACCTGCTACTTCAGGATATTGCCATCTATAGCTTTCCAACACTTCATATGCTGATGAATAGTTGGCTTCTGGTTGATTCAGTATAAGTCCCCAACTGCTGCTGAATTCACTCTCCAAGTCCAGAACAGAAGGGACCTTTATTTACCTTAATGGGCTCTGAGGAGTAACACTGCAGACAGTCAGGTGCCTGGTCTCCTCCTACTGATTTCTGCCCTTGGTTTTGTGACTTCTGGTTGGCAAAAAATTTCTGCTCAAGGTGCTTGGATCTGTAAAGCATGATATTCTTGGCTAACTGCAACACTAGGAAATTCCATACCAAAATGTCCTGTTTCTTATATAGATATCTCTTAAAAAAAATTCTCTCAATAGAATCCCATAGTGACAGAGTAAAAATGACAAAATTTAGAGTAACAGAGCCTTCCACAGCAGAATTATTAGAAATTAATATGAAATAAATAAAAAATAAATAAATAAATTTTTAAATCGAGCAAAAACCTGCTTTTTCAAACACTGTCCACAGCTTAATTATTGTTAAGTCCTTCTATTTTTTAATTTATTTTTTTTTTTGTGGTGAATTTGCAGGTTGCTGTGCTAATACTACACAACATTCCTTTAAGGCTTAAGCACATACATTTAAAAGCTGATAACATTTTTTCCATTAGAAGAGCTTAAGTTCTTTTATGATATGTTCAGGGATCAAGTTTCACAAATTCAGTATTCAAGCCAACTAAAGTCAGATGTCCTAGTACCACAAAGCTTAATGAGTGAACTTTTGCCTCACTAAGGTCTGGCAGATAAGAAGAGATGAATACCTTAAAATAAAGGCAAAACATTTGCTTCAACATGTAAATGTATTTGTTCAGACTGTAAATTAAATTCAATTAAGTTCAGAGAATAGTATCTTGAGCATTTTGCTAATTATAGTTGTGAGTTTCAACTCATTAAACTCAGATAGTACATTTAAGAAAAGAGAATCTGCCAGGAAACTGCCCATTACACGGGCTGGTTATCTCATTTCCATTAAAGCACCACTAAAACTTCGAGATGTGCCTTCAAGACACTCTACAGGAGAAGGAGGAAAAGAGGAGAGAACCAAGAGCCTATTCACCAGCTATAGCAAAACACGATCAGCTGCAGAAGGGAATTTGTATTTTCTGGGTGTACAAAACCTAGAGCTGCACATCAAAGAATGCCCTCATTCAGCATCCATGTGACTGGTGTCCTCAGGAGTCAGTTTGTAGTGCCACCCACCTTGACAAACCTCTGGGACTGGCTGATCTCTCTCTGGTTAGAATCACCCCTCTGCTCAAGAGACAAAACTCACTTGAAAAAAGCTAAATTTCTCAGCAAATTTGGGCCAAATAAATGCTCACTTTTGTGATAAGGGCTAGCCTGGCCAGAACTCCAAGGCTTGATTTAGGTATCATTTGACCTAAAACATGAACAAAACTATGCCAGCAAGCAAGAAAATAAGAAGGGGAAGTGGGGTCAAACTGAACCTATGATACAGGGTAGGAAAGGGCATGAGAATTACAACTGAGGCAAATGTGACCAAAACAGTATGAAGAGGAGATGGGAGAGTCCAGAGTAATGTATTGGGAACCTATATGTTCCCCAGTTGAGGGAGAAAACAGCCTAAAGTGGAAGGAAACTGAATCTTTTCAAGTGCCTGGCATAAAGAAGCAAGAAGTAGGCATTGAAGGGAACTGGAGAAGTAAAAATCAACAGGAGGTTGACACGTCAGGAGAGAGACATGGAGGATTGCAGCCTCTGGAGACTAAGCCAAGAACATGGCTTACAGAAGCTGCAAAATGTGCAACCAAGTGTTTTCATAGAGGGACTAGCTAGTGTTGGCACAAGACAGCAAGTGTTAGCACTGGAAGACAGAAGAAGTGCTCAGTGTGTGACAGTGATGAAGTCCCACGCAGCCCTGTGAAAGTATGTCTGAGCTGCATAAAACCGCGAGCTCGCTTTGAGCTAGTTAGCCAAGCCTCAGAAGCAGTCTGTGCATGTTAGCATTGCTTTAATTAATTTAACTGGGCTAATACCCCTAATTTGTTGGAGGTATCTGTAAACTGCTCTTTGCAGGGTTAGGCTGACATAGTGTACCTTTGTTAGAGAGAGTCACTCCAGAGACAGCAAAACAGGTCAGACCCTTACAAACCCCTTCAAACCCTTAATTTCCCTACTGCGTGTCCTTGGTCAGTGATTAGACTGAGCAGAGACTCCCAACAAGCTCAGGCTGCTGAATACTGACCTCTCTTAACTGCTGCCAAAGCTAACAGCCACAGCTATGTTCTCACCAGGTGGTCTCCCTTCAAGAAAATGCTCTTTCACTTTTTTCTTCTTTTCCTAAAAAAAAATTAAATTGTTGTATGATAGAGAAAACTTGCCCCAATGCACGCTATTCGCAGCAGACAGAAAGAGCTGCTTACATGATTTTTGTGTGCTGTGTTTTCATTCTTCTCTAAACTTTTTGACTGGGTTTGAACTCCTGCCAGCTTTTTAGCATAGCAACTTGTTTTCTTCATGACATTCAGCAAGTGGTTTTGCCTCCTCAAAGACCTGGGCTGCAACCCAGGGAGAATTTTACATTATGAAAGAATGAAAAGTTGGTTAGAGCAGGAGCAGCAAAAGCCACACACCTCTTTCCCTCTGACCGCAGACTAACCCACCACACTGTCTCTATGGCCTGGGTACGTGATATTATGACTATGATCATGTGGGTCCTAACTCTTCCAGCAGACAGGGGAACATAACTTATTTTATGGAAAAGAGCCTATTCACAGGGCTACTGTGTGCTTGCTGCTACATGCATGATTTTAATAGGCTCCTGCTTACATGTCTGACTTTGCACACTTAGCAGAGTAGAATAACACAGTTAGAACCAGACATCCTGAAAAAGTGGGAAGCCAGGCAGGCACGTCTTCCTCTGTAGCCACCTAGCCTACCTGCTCCTGGCTGCCCTCTTCCCTAATCATGGGAATCACATGAAAAGGAGGGAACATTTTCCCAGGGGAAGAGGGAAGTTTGGGCAGGCCATGACCTAAATAAATTATGCTAGCAGCCTGCGGATGGTTTGCAGACTGTGGGTTAAACAATTCCAATATGCACAAGCACTTTGAGAGCCAAACCCCACTGAAACCAACAGAAAGTTTTCCATTTGCTTTAGTGAGCATTGGATCAAACATTATAGATAGGCAAAAGTGAAAATAAGAGACCTCTGTGCATTGTTGGCACAGTGACTGTAAATACCATTGGAACAGAAACAAGCACAAGATACCCTGAGGCTGCATGAGTGTTGCTGTCCAGTGATTGGCTTTCATTTATTCCCTACCTCAGTGGAGCCACTTTACACTGCTGGGTAGACCTGGCTCTTACTCTTTGCTCAGGAAGGTTTCATTCTAGTTGCTTTTATCATTGGGCACAGGGTGCTCACAGTGCAGATTATACCAGCTAACAGGAGCAAAGTAACTTTAGGTAATTGTGCCAGCATGAGGAACAAAGGAAAGCATTCTCGTAACACTGATAGGCAGAGCAAACTTGAAATCATTATTACTGAGCCAGAAATACAGATTCCTCTTCCAATAGTTGGTTTCCTGTTGGCTAGAC